GTGTCAGGGACAATGAGCACCCAAACAGAGATTGTTGAAAAAAAGCAAAGAAAAAACATGTTGATTCATGTTGTATTGCCATTCTGTAGGTTAAATGGTCAAATATCTGCAATTTTATATGGTTTGACCTAATACTTATCCATACTGAATTAATGTACCATGTGCCATGTTTGTGGCACTCCTAGGCATTGTCATGGGTTGAATTATATCCCCATAAAAAAAGATGCAATGGACTCCAAACCCCAAATATCTCAGAATGTGTCCTTATTTGGAGATGGAGTCTACAAACGTAATCCAGTTGAGATGAGGCCATTAGGGTAGACTCTAATTCAACATGACTGGTGTCCTTTTAAAATAGGAGAGTTGGACACAGAGGCAGACATGCATAGAGAGAAGGGGATGTGAAGAGACAGAGAGAATGCCATCTGCAATCCAAGGCTACCAGAAGCTAGGAGAGAGGAATGGAACACATCCTTCCCTCACAACCAACCCTCAGAAGAAGCCAACTCTGCCAATACCTTGACCTCAGACTTCTAGCCTCTAGAACTGGCAGAGAACACACTTCTGTTGTTTACGCTACACTGTTTATAGCACTTTGTCATGACAACCCTGGGAAACTAACCCAGACACTGACTCCTTAAAGCTTCACGATGCTTCTGTAAAGTGAATGCTGTTACTATTACATACATTTCAGAAAACTGCAGCTCAGAGAAGCTAAGAACAGTGTCCAAGGTCACAGACAGCAGGGGAGGAAACTGAGCTTTGAACCCCAGAAGGCTGGCTCAAGGCTCATGCTTATGATCTCCAGCAGCACTAGCTCAGTGGACTTATGTTTGCATTCAGTAATTATTATTATTGTTATTATTATTATTTTGAGACAAAGTCTTGCTCTATTGCCCAGGCTGAAGCACAGTGGTGTGATCACAGCTCACTGCAAACTCCGCCTCTCAGGTTCAAGCAATTCTCTTGTCTCAGCCTCTCCAGTACCTGGGATTACAGGTATGTGCCACCACACCCAGCTAATTTTTGTATTTTTAGTAGATACAGGGTTTTTTCATGTTGGCCAGGCTGGTCTCAAACTCCTAACCTCAGGCAATCTGCTGGCCTCAGCCTCCCAAAGTGCTGGAATTACAGCGTGAGCCACTGCACCTGGCCCAGTCATTATTTTTAATTAGCAACATCCATGGGTAATATGAAGAACATTTTTAAGGACCTGAGAACCACTTATCCTCTGAAATACTATTTTTAAAATAGCCACTAAAATCCTGTCTGCAAGACAAGAAGTTTGCCTCAGCTGAGGATAATTGGCAACAAAATGCGAGTGGCACCAATTCACTTAAAGAGAATACGGAGAGAGATCAAAACTAGTGATAAATAATGATGGGGAGCCGGGTGCGGTGGCTCAAGCCTGTAATCCCAACACTTTGGGAGGCCGAGGCGGGTGGATCATAAGGTCAAGAGATTGAGACCATCCTGGTCAACATGGGGAAACCCCGTCTCTACTAAAAATACAAAAAATTAGCTGGGCATGGTAGCACATGCCTGTAATCCCAGCTACTCAGGAGGCTGAGGCAGGAGAACTGCTTGAACCCAGAAGGCGGAGGTTGCAGTGAGCCGAGATCATGCCATTGCACTCCAGCCTGGGCAACAAGAGTGAAACTCTGTCTCAAAAAAATTAAAAAAAAAAAATGATGGGGAGAGATAGCTTCTAAGACTTCATTTTGGGTGAAAACTAAAAAATAATGCATTAATTCTAAGGATGAATGGAAACAAACACTTGAGAAGCAGGTAAATTGTACTAAATTTCTAATAACATTATCTAATGGCCTTTATTTCATGTTTTATTTTCATAGTTTGATTATAAAGAAGGTTATTTTACAAAAAAAAAAAAAAGTCATTAATTCTTCCAGCAGCATCTCTTATTTTTTGAAGATTCAGTTTTCATTTTGGAGAATCCATCTAGTCTTCATCTTATTGAGTTTTTCTTCTTTAGTTCTCAAGTGGGTTAACTCTCCCAGAATCTCTTTTGGAAATGACTTTGGGTAGTAATGCTTTGAGCTGTTCTCTAACCTCACTTCTGTGGACTCTATGAAATCCCACCTCTTTCGTAAGAATTACAGTATCCCTTTGTAGTTGAAACACATTGCACGGTCAGGAGTTTACAACCTGGTGAATTCAGAGGGACTATGGACCAGAAAGACACCAAGCTGGCAAAGTACACAGATGAGATGATGTAAATAGGTGTTACATGATGTGTACCAGATGCTGAAATGGGGACTGACATTACGTATTATGGCAAAATATGACTTCCTGGTGAACTTCAAATGTCAGGAACTCTGACAATCAAAACAAAAAACATGAGAGTCCTCCCATGTCTTTGCTTAGAACATCATTTCCCAAAGTCTATGCCAGTGAACTATAATCCCCACTAATCCTGGAGATGTGATTCGAAGGGATAAGTAGGAAATATGAGGAATTTATGGTTAAGCACTTCTGGGAAACACAGAGTTAAACATAGATGAATGAATCTGAATGCTTTGAGAATTCCCTGAGACTATAAGGTACTAATAACGTGCATTTTGATTCTCTAAGAGCTACATACAATATGTAATGTCTCCCAAATGTGTACATATGTTTAAAACTGTTTTCTCTACCATTGGATAGGATGAGTGTTCAGGAGAGCATCCTTTATGAGATGGTGACTTAGAAAACCCCTTTCTGATACAAGATTATACTTCAGTAAACTTAAGGTGAATGATCATGGACTCTTCTCTAGGATGTCCAAATTACTCCGATGTCATTCTTTTAAACAATAATGCCCAGAGCTCAGCTCCAAATCATCTTAAGATTAAGACCATAGAATATGATAGGAAAAGCACCAGACTAAAAGGAGAATTTACATAGTCTCATGACTTGGGGGCCTTGGTTTTTCATTAGCCAATGGGTTAGGGTGGTGGACCCCTAAGGTTCCCTGCAGTATGCAGAACCAGAACTAACAGAAAGAGAAGACTCAGAGTGACAGAGAATGCTTAGGACAGGTGGGGAGGACCCCATCAATGCTGGTGCCTTTAAAACCAATCATTTCAGAAGTCATAGAACTGAAAACACAGGATTTCTTCTGTTCTGTAATTCCGGGACCAGTCTGTAATAGCATAGAGGCAACCAACCGGCTGATTTCCTTGCAAAGAAATTTACCTTTTTTTTTTTTTTTTTTTTACGGAGTTTTGCTCTTGTTGCCCAGGCTGGAGTACAATGGCACAATATTGGCTCACTGCAACCTCCGCCTCCCAGGTTCAAGTGATTCTCCGTTCTCAGCCTTCCAAGTAGCTCCAAGTAGCTGAGATCGCAAGCAGGTACCACCCCACCCATCTAATTTTATATTTTTAGTAGAAATGGGATTTCACCATCTTGGTCAGGCTATTCTCAAACTCCTAACCTCAGGTAATCCACCCACCTTGGTCTCCCAAAGTGCTAGAATTACAGGCGTGAGCCACCACACCCAGCCAGAATTCACCTATTTTAAAAATATTTTTTAAAGTTGATCAAGCCTTATGCAAGGGTAAACATAGAATCGAAGAAGGGAGTAGAGGTGTTACCAACAAGGATGGTGGAGGATGCCAAGCCCATGACTGAGGAGGAGAGTAGCTGAGAAATAAAGTCATGCTGGTGAAACTGCTCATGTCTATGGGGCCCCCAGCAAATTAAACAACACAGCAAAACGATCTAGTCATTTCCTGGCTCACGTTGCAGTGAGCAGAGGTTCCACATTAGCATCATGTTAGTAAAAAGCCATTAGCTTTAAAATTTCACATCTCTTTTTTTTTTTTTTTTACCTGCTATTTACCATTTCTACCCTGCTCACATCCTCAAGGTGAAGTGAGTTGTCTTAAATTATTAAGTCATATAGAAAAATTCAGGGTAAAAGATCAAAACCAATTAAGAGGCAGGCATCTGGGTTTAATTAGTCACTGCAACTGAGCACGTCAGCAGGCTTACTATTAGCTAGCACTGACTTCCTACTAAAAGGAAGCATCTAAGTTCATCAAAATGAGATTAATTTATTTTCCAGGTACTGTATGCCAAGAAGACTATATTGCTGCCGTGTTTATGTAAAAAGTGATAGACAAGGTAAGTCTTCACCTCTAATGTCGGTCCTACTCCACACCTTTCATTTCTCCTTCAGCCCAAACTCTGCATTAAGGCCTCTCACAAAGGTTGCTGCCACCTGGTATTCACCTAGCCCACTCTGCAGAATCTCCAGAAAAGACTTACATGTTAAAGAAACCTCCAGCTTCTTTTGCCATCTTTCTGAAGGGTGAAACTTGAGACTTAGGGTACCTTCCCCTTAGGAGGAGCAATGGATCTGTATTCTGAAACAGGTCATTACCTGGGGTGGAGAGGTGAGGGGCTGAAGCTTCAAGCTGGCTCTGGTGTAGGCTCTGACATTCGAGGTTTCTGGATCATGCAGAGAGACTCAGTATGAGAGGAAAACAGTCTTGGATTTAGGCCTGATCTCTTTCTTGTGTTGTATCTCTCGGGAACTAACGCTGTTAGGTTGCAGGAGGTGTACACTGCTGCTAAAGAGTCACAGAAATACTCTTCATATGAATGCTAAATCACACCACACCGAAAAAAAAAAAAAACAGAAAAACCTTAAGTGATCATCGTCACAACACTTATAAAGCTTTCTACAGGTGTCTTTCATTAACTCAGCCTATCTCAGGGGCTTACTATCACATCACTCCAATTTGGAAATATTTGGAAAACTAAGATAAAATGTGTATTTGTTAACTTGTATGTTTTTTCTTCTCAACATCTACTCAAGGCAGGGAAAGATTTTAGAGACATGAGAAGAATAAATGGGCAAAATATTCTTTGGAATATCCCCTTCAAATTAAAACTGTGTTGACCTTTTGGCAAATTCTTAGTTGTTTTTAGAGTTGGCAACCCTGATAAGGGCCTTTGTATCAGTAAGCCACAGAGTCAATTAAAGAGGACTCTTTAGATGATTTGAATTGATAAGCTGAGGCTCTATGAGGAATGACGATTCATAGCATGTTAAAGTTATTATGAAAAAAAGAGAAGAATCTCTGAGTCTTTGATGCCAGATGCAGAACTGAAGACCTTATGAGAAAACAAAGCAGCCTGGTTCTCACCTTGATGAAATGCCGGCCCAGAAACACACCCAGTGTGATCCCCTCATGGCCAGGAGCAGTTCTCAACTTCAACACTCTCCGACAGGCATCCCCAAACTAAGGCCCCGCGGGCCGCATGCGGCCCCCTGGGGCCATTTATCCCGCCCCGCGCCGCACTTCAGGAAGGGGCACCTCTTTCGTTGGTGGTCAGTGAGAGGAGCACAGTATGTGGCGGCCCTCCAATGGTCTGAGGGACAGTGAACTGGCTCCCTGTGTAAAAAGTTTGGGGACGCCTGCTCTTGAAATTTGGGGCCAGATAATTCTCACGCTGGGGGAGGGGCACCAACTGTCTTGTGCACAATAGAATGTGGGAGGTTTGGCACCCTAGTACACAGCCGCTATGTGTCAGCAGTGCTCTACCCAGTTGTGAAAAGCAAAAATGCCAATGTCCCCTGGGGGTAGGGGGCACAACAACCGTAATTGAGAGTCACTGGCCCCAAGTTAGGGCCAAAGCCTTTTATAAAACCTGGATTTACCATCCCTGTGTCCATGTGTTCTCATTTTTCAACACCCGCCTATGAGTGAGAACATGCGGTGTTTGATTTTCTGTTCTTGCGTCAGTTTGCTGAGAATGATGGTTTCCAGGTTCATCCATGTCCCTACAAAGGACATGAACTCGTTGTTTTTGATGGCTGCATAGTATTCCATAGTGTATATGTGCCACATTTTCCCTGTCCAGTCTATCATCGATGGGCATTTGGGTCGGTTCCAGGTCTTTGCTATTGTAAACAGTGCTGCAATGAACATTTGTGTGCATGTGTCCTTATAGTAGAATGATTTATAATCCTTCGGATATATACTCAGTAATGGGATTGCTGGGTCAAATGGAATTTCTATGTCTAAGTCCTGGAGGAATCACCACACTGTCTGGAGGGGGGAAATAGGGGAGGGACAGCAGGGGCTGGGAATTTGGGGAGAGATAGCATGGGAAGAAATGCCAGATATAGGTGATGGGGAGGAAGGTAGCATCACACTGCCATGTGTGTACCTATGCAACAATCTTGCATGTTCTTCACATGTACCCAAAAACCTAAAATGCAATAAAAAAAAAAAAAAACCTGGATTTAAAATCTGTTCAAGTACTCTGACAGATTTTGGATTGCAACCCCCAGATTTCTGAGCCAAAGAAGGAAAGAAAATATTTTGGTCTGAAATGGTTAGGGTTAAGGCTTACTGACTGTGTATCTCAATAATTTGAAATCCCAATATGGCCCCAGGATAATTTGAGATTGTCAATAGCTCTAAATTCCATGAGCCCACCAGGCTGTTAGCTGCCATAGGTACCCGCAAGAACCACAGAAATAGTCTCTAACACGAATAGAGCTTTACATTCTACTCAGAATTTTAACATTTGTTATCTTATTTAAGTCTGCATGAGTTGTGCATTTAGAATTTCCCAGTTAGGACAAAATCTAGCTTATCTCTGAGGAATCTTGGCCAACCACAGTAATTTTAGTTTTCATACAGTAGATACTTTCTGATGATAATCAGGAAAAGAGCCATCAGTGTTTCATGGCCACTCCAGTAGGTGATGCTAAGATTATGCTGTCAACATGGAAGTGACTGTGTATCTTCCTAGTTGCTCTGACAGGCAGAGAAACATCCAAATTACCTAATTGTTGCACTGTTACTTAAATACATAATTAATAAAAGAATGGCATTGTTTCACAGCACATAGATGGGATTTTGATCCTACAAAAGACATTTCTTTCCAGCTTAGATTTTGACTACAGTATCGCTAGTTGAACTTTGAGAAACACTAATAGCCTGAGTTACATGATGAACTTTGAGAGACTGGCCCACCGGAAAAAAAAAAAAAAAAAAAAAAAAAAAAAAAGGATTCCCTGTTTAATAAATGGTGTTGGGAAAACTGGCTAGCCATGTGCAGAAAGCAGAAACAGGACCCCTTCCTGACACCTTACACCAAAATTAACTCCAGATGGATTAAAGACTTAAACATCAAACCTAACACCATAAAAACCTTAGAAGAAAATCTAGGCAAATCCATTCAGGACATAGGTGTAGGCAAGGACTTCATGACCAAAACGCCAAAAGCAATGGCAACAAAAGCCAAAATAGACAAATGGGACCTAATCAAACTCCACAGCTTCTGCACGGCAAAAGAAACAGTCAGTAGAGTGAATCGGCAACCAACAGAATGGGAAAAAATTTTTGCAGCCTACCCATCTGACAAGGGGCTGATATCCAGAATTTACAAAGAACTAAAGCAGATCTACAAGAAAAAAACAAACAAGCCCATTCAAAAATGGGCGAAGGATATGAACAGATACTTTACAAAAGAAGACATACAGGAGGCCAACAAACATATGAAAAAATGCTCATCATCACTGGTCATCAGAGAAATGCAAATCAAAACCACATTGAGATACCATCTCACACCAGTTAGAATGGCGATCATTAAAAAATCGGGAAACAACAGATGCTGGAGAGGATGTGGAGAAATAGGAGCACTTCTACACTGTTGGTGGGAATGTAAATTAATTCAACCATTGTGGAAGACAGTGTGGCGATTCCTCAAGGACCTAAAAATAGAAATCCCATTTGACCCAGCAATCCCATTACTGGGTATATATCCAAAGGATTATAAATCATTCTACTACAAGGACACGTGCACACGAATGTTCATTGCAGCACTGTTTACAATAGCAAAGACCTGGAACCAACCCAAATGCCCAACGATGATAGACTGGATAGGGAAAATGTGGTACATATACACCATGGAATATTACGCAGCCATCAAAAACGATGAGTTCACGTCCTTTGTAGGGACATGGATGAACCTGGAAACCATCATTCTCAGCAAACTGACACAAGAGCAGAAAATCAAACACCGTATATTCTCACTCATAGGCGGGTGTTGAACAATGAGAACACATGGACACAGGGAGGGGAGCACTACACACTGGGGTCCGTTGGGGGGAAATGGGGGAGGGGCGGGGGGTGGGGAGGTGGGAGGAGATAGCATGGGGAGAAATGACAGATACAGGTGAGGGGACGGAAGGCAGCAAACCACACTGCCATGTGTGTACTTGTGCAACAATCTTGCATGTTCATCACATGTACCCCCAAACCTAAAATGCAATTTTATATATATATATATATATATATATATATATATATATATATATATAAAATTGAGAAAAGTTTCATGTTGTTCACATCATTTTATCAGCGGCCTGAGAGTAGAGCAATGATCACTGTTAAACTAGTTTTGCATAAAATCTAAACCGTTTTAGGATTAAACTCAAGGCTACAATTTACATAAATGTCCCACAGAGTTCTGACTCTGTAATTTATGTGCAATTGAGATTCCCCCTATCCAATTCTGATAGAAAAATACCTGAAGAGTTAATTTAGCAAAGATTGAGGCCCATTCCTCAGGGGAGACTCTAAACTCTGTGGGACAGAAAGAAAGAACCTCCTGGGACACTTGTAAGGTGAATGAAGGGCTTTTAACATGCAGCTGGTTTACTGCATTCCAGATAATAAGAGGCCAAAAATATGTAACACACAACAGGACTCTTGTAGAGAAGTCCAGTATAATTAGTCATCTGATCAACAAAGATGTATGCTCCTGCAGTTACAGAATCCATTGCTTGGGTGGCAATGTCCCCAAATCTGTATTTGGTATTGTTTCTGACAAGCAAACTCCAAGACTCCCTCCAAAATTTATTATAACCTGATTTTTGAAAAGGATAAGTTGCTTATAAGAATATTTGAACTTAATAAGTTTACATATGACTCATCTGGGTTCCATCTGCAGTATTATCTTGATAGCACTGTCAGGCTGCATGGTTTACTGGCAGGCTTCATCCAGCAAGGAGACAGTAGGTCCATTCGCTGCCCAGAAATGGAGCCTTCCAGGCCAGTGGTTCTGAAAGTGGCTCTGAGCACACGCTAACTCTATCAGAAGCATCTGATAGAGTTGAAATCTGCTGAAAATGCAGATTCTAGGCTTCCACCCCAGATCTACTGAACTTGAATTCTGGGGAAAGAAGTCCCTGGAATATGGATTTTAACAACCATCCATAATTCTTGAGAGCACTAGAGTCTAACTCTCCAAAGAGTGACATGAAATTGAAAGAAAAGAGGTCCCATCTTAATGTCCTTGTGTCCACAGCATCAGCTCTTTGGTTGCATGTTTAGTCAATCACGGTGACTTCAGGACAGATTTGGTTTAAGAGCTAAGTGCTTAATTTAAAACCCAGATGTCTACAGTCTCTTCCTGGTTCCCACACTCTACCTCAACCATCCTTATTGGAGGCACTACTTTACATCAAATCCATGCATACATCCACATACACACACTTATAAAAGGCAGTACAGATGCATACCTGGCACTCTTCCATGATGGACCTGTGCTGTGACTCCTCTAGAGATGTTGGTCTGGCCCTCTGAATAGACGTTGCATTTGCTAGAGAAAAACTGGTTCCCTGCCTCTTCTTCTCCCCACTTTCCAGCTGCAATAATTATTTCATTGTTGAGAGAGGCTCTCCATTCCCCCATGAAAGGCTTACAGAAAATACTCACCATAGGTATTTGAATTAGTTCTGCCTCATTCATGAACTTACACATTCTGATAAATAAGTAGCAGCTTCTCTTTTCTCTTTTTTATTGACCATCCTACAATCTACAGTTATTGTCATCAACTAGCAGGAACTATAACAGAAAAAGAAGGTGTGCCCAAGGAATGAAAAGAGCTTAACACCTGCTTACTACTGAACCTTTACATCATATCACATAACATAATGTCATTTGATTAAAGGACAACACACTTTTTCTAGGAAAGGAATAATTCTTTAGAAATGGCTACTTACAGCAGTGATTTTAAACGAGACTTTTTTTGAGAAAGAAATGCA